TAATCCTGCGCTTTGGGAGGCTGAGGTGAGTGGATTGCCTGAGCCCGCGGGTTCGAGTCCAGCTGGTGAGTGTGCCACTGCCCTCCAGCCTGGGCGACAGAGTGAGACTCCAACTCAAAAAAAAAAAAAGCTCTCTGCAGCTCGGTGGCTCAGCCTGCCATCCCAGCACTTTGGGAGGCTGAGGCGAGCGGACTGCCTGAGCCCGCGGGTTCAAGTCCAGCTGGTGAGCGTGCCACTACCCTCTAGCCTGCGTGACAGAGTGAGACCCCAACTGAAAAAAAAAAAAAAAAAACCTCAGTCCCTTTACGAAGTTCACAGCAACTTGGATGGATTTAGAGTCTATCATACTTAGTGCTCTGTCACAGAAACAAAGAACTGAGGACCACACGCTCTCACTCATAAATGGACCCTGAACAATTGTCATAATACTACAAGAAAGGAATTGGCAATAGAAGGAAACTGCCAGAGAGCACCTGATCTCCAACCAGGCGAAGTGGGAACCAAAGTGAGGCCCCAACTTTGCCTGGACCATGACCATTTATGTATCTGATCCTGAATTGGACCCCACATCCTTACAATTAAAAAAATTTTTTTAACGAAAAAAAAAAAAATGAGCCAGGTGTGTTGCCATCTGTAGTCCCAGCCACGTGGGAGGCTGAAGCAGGAGATCGTTTGGGCCCAGGAGATCGAGGCTGCAGTGACCCATGACTGCGCCACTGCCCTCCGGCCTGGGCCACAGAGTGAGACCCGATTCTAAAATAAAGTCGAATCAAAACGAGGCGCTGCGAGGGAACTGGGAGCGCAGGGATCCCAAGACCCGTGCGGCTGTGACAGCAGGCTGGGCGGAGAGCTGGTACCTGAAGGGACGGGCTGTGGGCCACTCTCTTGGGGGTGACGGTGGTGGTGGTCTTGGATGCCATCCCCGCCAGCGTGCGCGTCTTCAGCGGCTGACCACTGGGCTCAGGGCCACCGGAGGGCTGGCTACTGCTGGCTGCGAGGGTCCTCTTGGCGCCTGTGGGGGCTGGCGGGGCACAGGGGGGGTGAGCACGGGACAGGAGACCCATCGCCGAGCGGCGCAGCACCAGGCAGCTGCGGTCACTCAGCGCCAGCAGCACGTGCACTTCTGCGTGCAGGGGGCCGGGCCGGGCCGTGGGGCG